AATAGCATGTTTTCTTTTTCAAAATTGAAGTTTTTTTTTTCAGGGGCACAATCTTTAATTATGTACCACATGTTTTTTTTGTCAATAAAGTTATTTAAATTAATAAATCTTTACGTTATAAAATCAAATTCAGTGGCGCCACTTATTATAAACTTCCAGTACGTAATTCCACTATGATTGTTACTGTTTTTAATAATATTTAACAAATGTTAATTAGATAACCGAGCCCCAAATCACGGCCTAGTCTAAATAACACCACAATTAGGTAATCATCAATGAGCTTGGGTTTTTTTACAGTTTATCACCCTCTCTTATCTGGTCCAGATTCGATTTCCGCGAGACGCGTCTGTAACATATACAACAACTGGCAACATATTTAAAATAAAACAAAAAATCACTGATAATAACAAGAAATAACTCAAAGTACGTATAACTTAGTATTATATTATCTGTGGTACAACTAAAAGAAACCTCGAAAAATATTACAAACTAGCAGATATTATAGTTAACTAGCGGCCCTGTACGTGCTTCGCTACGTATAAAGTGAAATAACAAAAGAAAAAAAAAATTTAACATCAATATCGCTGACAAATTGCTTTAATCGAAGCACGTCCAAAATGAAATGACCGCATGAATGACGTAACAACATGCTTGTACTGTCAACATTGTAAAAAGTTTCAATTCGACAGCCGAATCGCCATCTTAAAGAAAAGTTTGGATTTGAAATAAAAATCCCCATTAATAAAATGATCCGCCATTTATTGAATTCATTTGTTACAAAAAAATGTGATAAATGAAGAACCGCTCGAGCGATTTTGTGCAAACTTCACATAAACCATCTACTAAATAGTTCGAACAAAGTCTAAACATTTGGTTTGGATAGGTGAGCCCGTTTTTGAGTTATAAAATTAGAAACAACGAAAAGTGGCATTAATTTTCATATATATATATATATATATATATATATATATATATATATATATATATATATATATATATATATATATATATATATATATATATATAAAATTTATGAATCGATATCGATAAAAGTTGGCAAAAAAGTAAATTCATTTTGTATTTAATATGATGGGTGCTGAGAAAGGGGTGGCTGGTACTCACTGCATGGCCCGGGACCTAGAGCGGTCAAGACTCCAAATCCACCACTAATAACAACTAGCAATATACTTAGTACCTACATATAATTGATTGAGTAAATTGTCTGTTATTAATAAAAAAAAAAAAAAACTAAAAAACATACTCACAATTACATCCGTAAATTAGTTTATCGACTGTTTTTTTTTAATTGATGATAACGGTACCCCGCGTACGCTATCAGTACTTTTTTATATACAACTTAGAATGGCAAACAAGCTGACGGCCCACCTGATGATAGAAAGTGGTAACCGTAGCCTATAGGTATGAGCAGTACCATGGACATAAGTGAGTATACTGTTTCGCCCATGATACCCCCCATGCGTTGCCATTCCTGAGGACTCAGGTGTTATTCTTCTGTACCGTGTAAATTCATTACCATATGCCACGCTTCAAACCGAAACACAGCAATGCAAATACGACTGCATCATGGTAGAAACACGAATGGGGACAGAGGTGTCCAAGCAAACGACTTTTGTACAATGTCTCCTTCTGGTAATATAATCTATACTTCTATTTAATATTTGTTTACAAAGATTTGTTTATTTGTATTGTAATGCATAAACTCAAAAGCTACTCAACTGATTTCAAAAACTGTTTTCACTTATAAATATTTCTCACAATTAATTGTATAATTTTTATAATGCATAATTTTTTTTTTATACAACATAGAATGGCAAACAAGCTGACGGCCCACCTAAAGGAAAGTGGTAACCGTCGCCTATACACATGAGCAGTACCATAGATATAACGTATTTTTGCCCATGACACATGCGTTGCCATTCCTGAGGACTCAGGTGTTATTCCTCTGTACCCAGTGAATTCACGCCATAATATAGTATATGTCATATATGTGTAAGTATATTTGTTATTCATATATATATTTATTCGTTTATATATTATTTTGTTTATATATTTATGTTATTCTTCCGTACCCAGTTAATTCACGCCATATCCCACCCTTCAAACCGAAACACAGCCATGCAAACAACTGCTTCACGGTTGAAACACGAATGGGGCCAGAGGTGTCTAAGCAATCGACTTTTGTACAGAGTCTCCCTCTGGTAGCTAATATTGTGCGTATGTTGTGATTATAAATAAATACATCTCGTAATGCAAGTTTTTTATATTGTGTAAAATTATGGATACTCGTATCTCTTTTGTAAATGAGTGCATATTACTCGCAAACGATTTATTGGCTGATTATAAATTCTAGGCTAATGTACACGGGAATTTATCAATATATTTATAACTAGCGGCCCGTCCCGGCTTTGCACGGGTGGACATTTTTACATTTTAAAAAGTTTAAGGCTGCAAACGCGACGGAACCTTAAAAATGGAGTAACTGCTCCCGTTTCCCCAACATTTCCATTCACTGCTCTGCTCCTATTGATCATAGTGTGATGAAAAGTATATTATAACCTGCCCAGGAGTATGAAGAATAATTGTACCAAGTTTCGTTAAAATCCGTCTAAGTAGTTTTTGTTTCTATAACGAACATACAGAGAGATAGACAAAAATTTTACTGATTGCATTTTTGGCATCAGTGTCGATCACTAATCACGTCCTGATAGTTATTTTGGAAATATATTTCATGTACAGAATTGACCTCTCTACAGATTTATTATAAGTATAAATTAATTAATGATAAATAAAAAAACTTTTCAAAACAAAACAAAATCTTTATAAAGCTATAATATCAGTAAGTAACACAGGATTTTTTTTTTCAAAAATTCGATCCAACTTTATATAATAAAACAAGACAATTGTTTGAAGGCGTTAATCTATTGAATTACTAGTTAGTTTCGTATTTTTTTTTTTGCATTCGATATCTCATTTCTTTTACTAGATTATAGGCTATTCAACATCAGGATATGGCCACAAGTGAAGCCTCAAAATACAACTAGTACATAATATTTGTATGCCGTGTAGGTCCCGGTATGGACTGGACCACCCCTTCCTTTCCCGTGGGTGTCGTAAGAGGCGACTAAGAGAGGGCGAGGGGATGGGCTGCAGCGCCCTTCTTAAAACATCTCCAAAGCCTATGTGCGGTTGCCAATCCGCTTGCCAAGCGTAGCAACTACTAACAAAACACCCCTCATAATAAAAACATAAATTGTCATTTTCTCAATGTCCTCTACCCAAAGATTGTTTGGAAGAGATTGCTTAGCGATAAGGCCGCCTTTTGTATCACTTCTCATTAATATTTACTGTATTTGTTATTTCTTTTTTTACTTGGTGCAATAAACTGTAAATAAATAAATAAATATTAACAAAAGAAAATACTGAAGTATGTCGACCAGTTTTGTTTGTGCTTAGTTAGCGACGAAATGTTTTTCCTGTATTTTTTTTTTTTATAATTACATGATATGTAACCGCACACATGGGCAAAAACTGCCAGTGCCATGCACGGTCTACCGAAACAGGAATGTTTTACACTCAACATTTGGCGGTACTATGCCGGTTCATTGAATTTGACTACAAAAAGTCAACATGACGTATTTAAATAAAAAAAAACTATTTTAAATTCATAACAAATTTGTACCAGCAAAAAACCTACCGAAATATAATTATAGTCTATTTCAATAGAACTTACTAAGAATGTAAATAAATGAATAGTTTACGTTATCATAAAGCAGTCCGCTCATGTCCAATAGCAATGCAAATAAATTAAATAAATAGTTATATTTCAGTACATGTTTTGCTGATTCAAATCCATTCGAAGCTCGAATCCGAATCGAATCCGGCTCGGAGGACCATTAAGGTCCTTCGAGCCGGATTTAAATCATATAAAATATATGTATATGAATACTGATCACTAATATTCTTGCATTATATATAAATAAAATACATTGGTAAATGACATATTTCTTTATTTCAATAATTGTTTTTATTTAAAATTGTTCCTAAAATAACTGTACACTTATCTAAAATAAAAAGAAACCCTTTTTTTAATAACTACCATTATTTTTAATCTATAATATTTAGTTAATTTTCTTTCTTGGAATTGTCAAGTTGCGATTATGCGTGAATAGGAACGAATTTATTTACTTATCGGTTACTTATCAAATGTTTCAGATTTCACAGTACAGAGGCCAAAAAACATAGATATTGAAAAATATGATAAGCGCCATCTGTAACCAAGTACTGCAAATATTTTGGTTAATAAGTTGAAAAAATTTTTAATTATATTTTCAATCAACTTCAAAACAAAAGAAGTTCTCAATTCGGTTCTAATATAAACCGATTTGGAATTTTTTTTTAATCTGTAATCTGAAAGGATATATATTCGGTAGTTTAGTTTTTAAATCAAATTAACAAGTTTTGCTACAATCGAAGTCGACTTTTTTGTGAAACACAAATTTCAGATATTGTATTATTTAAATCTTGAGACAAAAATTTTAACTACTTTCAGTACATTAATAAATTACCCATAAAATAGTTCATTATTCAATTTAAAATAATACAAATATTGTATATTTATAGTATAATAACCTGTACCTATAACTTGCAGACACTGCTACAGCGAAGCCAGATGGTTTTTGCAAAACAAACAAAATTCAAGGTAAATTTCAAGATGAAGCAGGTAGACGGTTCTATATGCAACAGAGTTATATTTTTTTTTTACTTTCATTAATTATAAAATACCAAGGTGAGATATAAACAAGCACACAAAAAGCGTACGAGCACTGCCAAGGTGCAATGTGTGCCAAAATTTGTAATATTTAACGCTTTTATGTCCGCTATTTGAGACACAATAAAGTTAAATATTGAATGGCAAACATAATTATTGTCGATACTAAGATGGCGCTGTAAAACAAATGACATGACAACAAACAAACTTAGTTCGCGGCGTGTTTCGTTCGTAGGTGCATGTGCGCGCCGCCATAATTGATATAATCACGCGCGAAAACAAATACTTAAATTAAAAAAAAAAATAATAATGAATATAATATCGTTGACTCTATGGACGTTAGAGCATAATTGTTATTATGTGTACACTGTTTTAATTGTATTCTTTATTGGTTTCACTGTGGTCCATAAAAATAGGTTGGAAGCAAATTTAAATAGAACTGCCGCTACAAAAAAGAAATTGGCGCGAAATTGGAACAGTGGGAGAGGTGAGTGATAATAATTATATTTTTAATAGCACTCTCGGCCGGGAAGAGGAGGCAAAGACGTTAAACTGTACGTATTCATCTATACAGTTTGTTTATAATAGTTTAATATATCAAGTGACATTTTCATCAGGAATAGATTAGTACTGATTACTTATGTTTAAAGGTAGGTAGTATCAACTCACAATCAGGTTTGTGAAGGTCTTTTAAAGATATAATTATTTTGATAAGACTATTTATTTCGTAATTCGTTCAATATCACATTACATAACACAAACAACCTATAACTACCTCTGTCTATAATGTACTATAAATTTTCAATCAAATTGCAGTAAATTATTCCTGTTTACGAATGTAGAATGCGTTCGCTCCACCTGCACACGATTAGTGGTAATACAACATTGTTACTATTCAAGCATATGGTATTTTCATTGTTTGTATTACTAAGTAATTAAACTGTAAATAAACTGATACACTTACTGATCGTTTTTATCCACTTTTTATTGTTAAAAGTTTCGTAAGTACATATTTAATTTTAATGAAATAACTATCGAATTATGTGTATTTTAGTCAAAAAAACTCAGCTAGTTTCGGAACACTCCGGGACCCTTAGTCACTCATGAGCATCTATGATGCGGTATTTATTATATTAAAATATTTCTTTAATTTAAACTGATAGTATTATATTTAACATATGAGCAAGGAAAATTAATTTATGTAATAGTAGGTGAATCAAAACCATGATGGATTTTTTTACGACATGATAATGAAATGGGTACCACGCCTGCGCTACCGGTATACGCTGGTGGGGCACCAGTGATTGGTGAAGATGAAGTCAAGTCAGTTGTCCCATCGAGACGCATTCACCTAAAATTAATCACGATGGCTTCCAGAGGAACACCGTGGAGTTGGGATTGGTTGGATATATTGCTAGCAATGGGCCCTTTTATCTCCATTCCTAACGATCTCCTCCTGGGGGGAAAGGGATTGTTAGTAATGGAGACTGAGAATCTCATTGCTAGCAATATACCCAACCAGGTCGACCTCCTCGCGGTTCTCCCTGGAAACTATCATGGTTAATTCCTGATGAATTCATCATGATGAGCTAACTGGCCTGTTTTCATTCTCATCTATCACCCTTCACTGGTGCTCCACCAGCGTATCCCGTTAGCGCAGATGGGGTTACCATACCATTATCACCCATCAAAAAAAAAATAACGATCTCCTCCTCCCGCCAATATTATAGCGAAAGAGACATGTCAATTAAAACTAAACGGTATGTAAATACTAAAAGTAATAAACAAAAAAAAAACAAAATTAGTATTGATCTGTTTTCTGTTGTAATGGAGGTCAAGCCAGTAATTGATGCAACAAATTGAATATTGAAACAAGAAGGTATTAAGATATATTCTATATTATGTAGTTTTGGAATGCATTCAACAGGGATGTGTTACAATTGGCAAACCGTCCGTGGGAAGTTATTCTCATCATATTAGACGTTAACTCCATTGCTGAACACAGACCTCCTTTTTGGAGGGTTCTACCAGCTGCTAGCTCTAGTTCTAGCTGCCACGCTTGACGGTAGGATTGACAACCGCAGTTAGGCTTTGATGATGCTTTAAGAGGGACGCTGCTGCTCATCCCTCCACTATTGAATTCCCTTAGTTGCCTCTTACGACACCCATGGGAAAGGAGGAAGTGGCCCATTCTATTCCAGGACCATATGGCAAAGTTATAGTAAATTAGAATCAATAAAATAAGCGAATACCAAAGGAAGTCTTTTTATGAAAGTTTGTGCAAGAATACCGCTGTCACACTCGTGTTTTTGCTGTAAAGCAGCCACGTTTCTGTTCGAAGGGAGGAATATAGCAGAAAAAATTAAAGGATCGCGCTATTTAATTCTTTAAGGTTTAACACCTTGATGATGATGATATAGCCGTAAACTGTTAACTGCTGAACATAACTCTCCCTCTTGGAGGAGTTTTGCCAATAGTTACCACGCTTGGCAGTCTGGTTTAAGAGGGGCATTTAATATTTTAGTCTTCAGGAATAACAAGGTTTGACAGGTGCCATGGGCATTACAGAGTATTCTATGATATCCATAGTGTTTCTATAGGAGACAGTTACCTCTTGCCATCAAGGTGGTTGTCAGCTTATGCATTTTTAGTTTAAAAAATAAATACTTTGACAAGATAAAGTAAATCTTCAATTTCTAAGTGCTTGTATTATAGTAGTAGGTAGTGTTAAATACAGAAAATAAAGTATAATATAAGATATTATAATTTGCGATGACATACCAGCTCGTCATCGATAAGGAGTCGTACCGGAAGGTCACCCTCGTGCCCTGGAGCCTAGATGATTGCGTACAATTGCGTACGGTTTTAGAGATGTTTTCTCCCACAAACAGGTTATGGAATGAGCTCCCTGTCAAGGTTTTTTCAAGAGATTACATGGAGTTCTTTAAAAGGGAGGTAAAGAGGTTTCTTTAGAGTCGACAACGCGCGCGTTATACCCCTATTTTGCAGATGTTCACAGGCTACGGTTACCGATTACCATCAGGTGGACCATATGCTTGTTTGACACCTCAGTGGTATAAAAAAAACATACCACTGAAGAATAATATGAAATATTATATTATAAAACGAATAAACAAGGGTACTATACTGTCAAATCGAAAGGGAAATAACCTTGGTTAAATAAACTTGGTCAACAACCTATCTTGTTCGTATTGAATTGTCAAAAGTCTTCGCTAGTGGTCAACTTCTCGATGTTTTTATTGCCGGTATTCATGACCTCTAAATGGCGTTCATTTGTTTTGCAGCAATACTGCTCATAACGTGTACGTGAATCATTATAAAACAATTTGGTGAAATACAATTAATGTAGATCTTCAATTTCTACACAAACTTTTGGTTATCAAAAGTAAATTTTAACTAATAATTCATCTTGTATTATTTTGATAATAAATTTAAGATCTTTCTTTTTTTTTTTTTTTTTTTTTTTTTTTGCATATTAAATGTTGATAATGTAATCAACATTTATCATAGACTATAGATTTTCTTAAGTATAATATATCAAATGTACCTCTCAATGGAATTCAGTCTTATTAAGTTCGAGGTAAAATTGATCTTTCTCATGCTTTTTTATAACTTTGACAATATCAATAGCAATCTATTTTTCTATTCTGTCCAACATTTCTCGTCAACTCACTACAGGGCATAAACCTTTTTGTCACGCCACTTGTAGTGGTTCTGCACTCACCTCATCCACTGCTTCCCCACCATCCATACTATCGGATTGGTAGTCTAACGATTATCCTTTATCCCTCTCTTGGGCACCATTCTGTCACAACCTTGGTCCATTGTCCACCTTTCCTCCTAACCAAGTATCTTGCCCATATCCATTTTAACTTCAAGATTCGACTTTTGTTCTACGTCGATTCTACAGTAATTTTGATCAATACAATGTTGATTGCTTCTAAAATAATATTATTATAATAGATATTGATAATTTTACAGTTGTTTTGAAGTTCCTGGTTATTATCACCTGTTTAAATTGCCTTTATTTGTGGTGTATGGCCACGAGTAGCAATTAAATATAACCTTGCACGTCGCGTTTATACCAAACGTAATACTCGAAAATTATACATTGGCATATGTATCTGTATTATTAAATAATGTACAAATTGTTCGGTTCTAAAATTTGTCTTTCCACAAGGACTTTCGTGGGAGTTTCATACAAAATTGCTTGGTAGTACGCTTCTCACAGGTTTAGAACCTTTATTATCATCAAAAATCATGAAAATAATTCATTTTTTCACGATTTTATTACTTTAAAATCATTCAAATTTGCATGCATATGCAGTTTAATAAACTTTGTTTAATCTTGTCTCTAATTTTTTCGAGGAGAACACGATAATATTTTTAGCCTTGTCTTAAATTAAATAATGCATTCAAGATATTTTATTTGTCTCTTTTCTTTTTCTCTGTTTTTATTAAAAACTCATAATGAGCATTCATACATCACACGAGTAATAATATATAAATAATATTATTATTTTATCTATGTGTATATCTAGTTTATATTTTAAATAGAGAGACCTTTGAGGTTATCACTGTAACTATTTTTACAGTCAAGCAATTAGTTATATCTTTTTGGTTAATTTAATTTTGTCTTCCAAGTACATTTCTAGCTAAAGATGATAAAATTAAATCCGTCATGTCTTTCATCGTTTCATTGTATAGTTAGTTTTAGATTTCAAGAACTTCTTAGCTTACTTTAATATATAAAAATGTCATATCACGACGTTCGTTCCCACTAATCTCTAAAACTGGTCAACCGCTTTTTATTTATTTATTTATTTATTTACACATACACTAAACAAACTTTTCATTTAAATAATATAATTAATTAGATACAATCGTTCTTTAAGAAAAAAATAATATAAATTATACATATTACATATAACAAAACAACATAATGATGAAGATTACGCAATTATATAATAACGTTACTATTTTACTTTGAATTTAGAATAAAAAGAAAAACACAATGAATGTAGCAGTGTTTGTGCAAAGGACCTAACTCAGCATATGTCGCAGTTTCAAATCTGAAGCTACGACACTGATTTTCAATAGCAGTTCTTTTAATGATAATGGGTTGATTTTTATTGCCAGAAGTAGTATTTTTGTTAAGATCTTGCACACATGCAAGGCCAGGACTGGTCGCTAGGTGAATAACAAAATAAATGACAATCTATACCCTAAAAACACATACATTCCTACGTTCATTTGCATCAGCTTCAATATCATCTTTAACATCTTAGATTTTCACTCATTCTGTGAGATTACTAATGCCATGTTTTAATTCATAAAACGTTTACTCGTTCAATTTAGTAATAAATAAAACATTGTATAGATCAATTTCGCAACACCATTACTTATGTAGATACTTTCTCTTTGGTGTACTCTTTGAATCACAATCAAGTACGAACAAAACAATAC